ATATATATATATGCATGCAATTAATTATTACAAAAGTTAGGCTCTAATTTTGTTAATATTATCAACTATTAATTACTGATAGACTACGACTACCACCTGCTGCTGCTGCTTTTATTGTTATCATTGCAGTTATTATCACCGTTGCCGGCGCCACCAACACCCCTCTGCTATTTACTACACCCAAACTATTCAATTTAGAGTTAATTAAATTAATAAGTTTAATAAATTTTATTTTGATTTTGCAGATTCTACAGTAGATGAAGTGTGGACAGGTCCGGGTAAATTGAATTGTGATGGGATCTGTCACATTCCTAATAACTGTGACTTTAAACAAGTCCTTGTGAGAGTATTGATAACGGTGGAAAAAATGAGAAAAAAATCATTGGCATTCCCTGCTATTGGCACAGGTGATATATTGAGTTTACCATGTGAAAAAATAGTATTTTTTAAATATTCACAATTACTAATATAAATTAGTTTCCTCATATTTAAATATAGTTTTATTCCATTATGCTAGTTAGACATAAAATTGGAGAATTTACAAAACAAACTTAGTTAACTCTCTACATTGAACTGTGATATTAACACCAATAGCAATGCTGATGATTTCTAAACCGTAAACCTTTTAAAATTATTACATTTCTTTTCACTGTTAGGGGCCTCTAAGCCGCCAAGAGAATCCGCCATGCTCATTTTGGATTGCATTTGTTCATTTACAATGAAGCAAAAACCGACCAACTTGCGAGACATCAGAATAATTGTATATGAGAAGCCTATGACTACTGAATTTATATCTGTAATGAAAGAGATAGAGGGGAAACCATTACAACAAAGAAATATTTTTCAGAAGGGGTTTGGTAAGTTATTACTATAATGCCTGGAAAAAAACTTGTGGTTTTCTGTGGATGTTAATTGTCATTATGGATATCCCTATTTTTACAAACTATACCTTTTCGAAAAATTCCATCATTTTGTCAATAATAATGTCGATGACAATATTTTAATGGCTATTAGAAGAATCATTACATCCTAATTAAAATCTAATTTGACTGGGATTTGTACATGAAAGTATATGAAATTCATTTTATAACATAGTGTTTATATTAATTTCAACAAGTAGGCCTAGATGTGAATATCTACTATATATAATATATATATGAATAATTCCCAGTGTATTGCTGTTTGAATCTCGTACCGTTGTAAGCGAATCTTAGAGGATGCTAAACACCATTATAGGCAACCTCTTTTGCACACTTAATTATTAAGAGCCTTCTCATCCTACTTTTTCCACCTTGCACTAATAAAGTTTATTTCTACCACTCTTCCGATATTTAAAAAACCAGTAAGAGTCTTTGAATTAACGTCCTAATAAAGCATGCAGGAACGTTTGTAGTTCTTGCTGGCCAATACAGATTCTTTCCTGAGATCACTCAATATAAATAGGCCTACTATAATTATAATACATAGGCTTAAGCATGATTTTTTTACGCAAATTACAAATACAAATTGAACATACAGTATTTTGTTACAAATCAATTTGCTGTCCTATGCTATGCGATAGTTATAGTCAATCACTCCGAAGATGGTGTGTGATTTTTATGCACTAACAAATTAAAAAAAAAAAAAAAAAAACACGGATTTTTGGTATTGATTTAAAAGCTTTGTAATTTCTAAAACTCCTTCTACTATAGGTTTGTGACCCGTGCTCTGATAAAAACCCACCATAAGTAGGCCTATATCAATAAAAGTCCCCCACTAACCTGATAGTAACCTAGTGGATTAATAATTTGTTTACTATATACAATAATGCAATTTTATTAACATTTTTTGGGTTTATAGCAACTACCGCCAAGGGAGTGGATTTATCAAAATTACTTAACAGAAAAAATCAGCTTAATTCGTCTTCAATTTATAAATGCCAGGCCGTGTATTTTAAGATACAGAAATATGATATTGTAATGGTTCAGTTTGGTTTTTATCCTTTTGCAAGCTTTTATTAAGTTTTGATTATACTCTAATACTAAAAGTAGTAGTAATAATAATAATAATGATGATGACGATGGTGATAATGATAATAGATAATAATATTAATAATATCCAAAATTGTGCTAGAGGTGAAAAAGAAAGTTGTGATTTGTTAATCGTAATTATTATAGTAGTTATAGTTAGACCTAAGTTGTCCTGGATATTAATTAGATGGCTGCCTAAAATCCCTGATAAAAGATCATGAGAAATTTGTTGGCGCATCATTTTTACTGTATGGTGATGTGATGATGATGAATTTTACTATATAAAGGTTCTTACTCCTTCTCTACTCCCACACTATGGAACAATCTTCCGGCTGAACTAGGGAGCACAACTTTTGTCATCTTGTTTAAGGACAAACTTAAAACTTATTTATTCCTCAAAGCTCTTCATCGTCTTATTACTGAAGTGAATTAGACTAGTTAACCATTAACGATTTATAGCTGACATAATTATATTGGTGAAATTTACAGTAGTAATTTGACCTGTGAATCTTGTAAATAATTTTAATTTTATATTTCTAAATTGAATATTTGTACATTACTTTTGAGATGTTTGTTATTGGTATTCGAATAATCATTGTGTTATTGAATTTAAATATTTAAAATATTAAGTAATTGTAAATAATAATTTTAAGGTTATCGTTAATAGTTAATAATTTTAATAATTAAGTTATTTGTAATAATTATATTTTTATATATCTTTCCATTTATTTGATTGTGTATCCATATTGCAGATATTGCATTAACTTTTTTTTTAGTCTGTATTGTATTGTAATAATTTGGATTACTGTATATTATAGTTTGTTCAAATTCAAGATTCAAAATTTAAAAATACTTTAATATCCTAAAGGAAAT